ATTTAAACCATCAATTAAACATGTATAAGGGCATAAATATAATCACCAATGAAGATTTAGTGATTTAAACTAATAAATTCCGCGAGTTTTGGTGAATCTGTATTTCTAGTAGGGTTTAATCAGAAAACCAACAAGGAGGACATAATCGTCAAAGAAAAATATGGAGTTCCACCATGGTACCTACATGGGAAGCCTCTAGAAGACTCCAGAAAGCAAATCACGAAAGCGAAGGGCCACCCCATGACATATGGGGCTGAATGGCATGCAGGTGGGGCCAACTTGCCCCCCCTGGGCCCACCAGTCAGCTAGCTGCGTATGTCGGTCTCCCACCGCCTTTGAGGATGCATCTAGGCTGTTGCTTAAGTCGGTTTGATCCAAGGGCTCATGTTGGACCCTTAGGGCTATATAATCCAACCCCTGCCTCTCCCAGGCATCAGAAGTCATCAAGTCATTTGAGAAGATAGAAACCCTAATCTCCTCAGAGCTCCTCCTCATCCATAGCATAGCTGGTTAGAATAGATCTAGAGGGAGGCAAGTAGGACTTTGCTTGGATTCCTGATCTTATCAAGAGCATGGTTTGGTATAAACTTTGTACCCCTCTCTCTTTTGTTTCTCCATTATTTTTATATGCTAGTTATAATTGTTATGATAACCTTAGTGTTCATCTTATTAATGTTCTTCATTATGATGTTCAACGTCTACTTTGATTATATACTTAGTATAGCTAGTTTATCATTGTGTTTATGCAAAAGTTTGTATAGCGCTCACTCTAATGTACATGGGGTGGGTGGTCGACATTGTGTAAGCGTGGTGCTTATACGTTGTTTACCTGCGGATACACCCTATATTCTGAGTCATGTGGTAGATCGCGGATGTGACACTCCCGTTGAGTCGTTTGTAGTCCACTCCCTGAATATAGGTGCAAGTAGGGTCCGATTGCGAAGGTAGAATGAGCTCTGCCGTCAATCTTCCTTAGTAATATCCCTTAGGTGTAGATATGATGATGACCTTAGCCATGATTAGTAGGTGTAATTGCACTAATCAAATGTATGCTTTGACGTGTAATTAAGAATGACTTAGGAATTATTCCTCTAATATTCTACCTAACCATGCTAATGCTATAGAAAGGAGTGCTCTGAGTGATTTATCATAATTATTATTTATTATATACATATCTTATCCTATGACTTATCCCTGTTATAAGTAGAACATTGGTTATGGTTTATTTCTCCTTCAATAGTATAAGTTATCAATACATATCTATGCTAGACCTTCCTAGTGGTAAAAATATAAATAAAGATACCTGAAATACTCTCGAGTAAAATGCTATAATAGTATATTATCTGTGCGCTTGTGGATACTTTTGGTTCATAGATTTATATATATTCTCTCTAATCACATAATTAATAAAGAACTGCTTAGTGTTATTCTAGTAGTAATATTATGTAGTACCAACAAATATCTCTGCATCAACACTAGGGATGACAACCTAGTAAAGTTAGAGGTATAGGTTTACAATAGGTGGCTAAGTACTCAAACAAATGACACATTAATAAACACCAACATTGACTCTGGCAAACTTTGCATGAACTGTCCAGAGGGAACGGAACTTGACCCCTTCAAGGAGCAAGTTGGCAAGAGCCAGGAGGATAGCAATGAAGAAGATCTAGGGTGATGAAGCTAGTCAATACAACAAGTGTGGGACTATGGGAATGAAGTGAGGAGAAGCAATCCAGGCATTACCTGTTTCCTAAATTTGGAGAACAGACACTTCTCCCGCCGTTACATGTCCCTAGATGCATGCAAAAGGGGCTCCCTGAATGCAGGCCCATGTTGTTTTCTGACGGTTGTCATATTAAGGTAAAATTTGGTGGGATCATCTTTGCTGCAGTAGGAATAGATCCTAATGATTCCATATATCCTATTGCACTTGTTGTGGTGGAAGTCGAATCCAAAGCTAGCTGGAAATGGTTTCTTCATATATTGAAGAAGGATGACTTGGGCATTGTCAATACATGTCCCTAGATTGTTATGATTGATAAACAAAAGGTGAGCATGTTTCATTCATTCATGATATATTCTCTGGTTTCATCTGCATGTTAATGTGTGCATTTTTCTTTCTGTTAGGGACTAATTCGAGCTGTTGCAGAAGTGCTCCCTGAACCTAAGCACAATTTTTAGGTAAGGCACTTACATGCCAACTTCAGGGATGCAGGCTTCAGAGGGGAAATACTGAAGAAGCAACTTTGGACTTGTGCCAGATCCAATACAGTGGACAAGTGGAACCATCACATTGACAACGCGCCTCTGGCTGCGCCGACAACTCCTCTCCATCTGTCGCAAATGATCACCAACTCCTACCAATGGAGAAGTCAAGGAGGCGGACGAAACAACAGAATGGGGGAGAAGGCTGGTGCACGTGGGGCGTGGGCTACCCCCCCCATTAGCGGTCCACGCTGCGTCAGCATGCCAGCTCCACAATGGATGCTTCGTGGCATGCCACATGTCACCTAAGGGGTCGAGTTTAGATCCGTTTGGATGTCTGGTGGGACCCAAACAAACTCTAGGGACCAGAAATGCAAATTGGGACTTTGGATACCTATCTGACACTTGAAGACAAGTTCAGGGACCTAGAGTGAATTTGACTCAAAATTAAAAATCAATTTCTTTCATGGTACACAAAGAGAAAGTAACAGACAAGGAGAGCAATAGGGAAATTTAAAAATGGATGACGACCAACCGTCAGAAACAATTTCTCCGATAGTACATGATTAACAGAAAAATTAAAACCTGGCAGCTTTAGAAATCTACATTTGTCAACATCAACCAACAGGAAAATTAGACATCACCGATGATGAAATAATTTTTTTCTGGAGCGACACCAGCAGATCAAAATGACAATTTTCCTACCGGTGTTGTCAACACCAAATAATCGTCTTTTTCTGTCTGCCAAAACTTGACATGATAATTATAGAGATTTTACATACAATTCTAGAAGAATTGAGATTTAATACAACATAAACAAATAGCATTCAAACATGATTCATGTACTATTAATATTTAACATATATAAATAAATCATTAGTCTAGCATGACTCCAATACATTCAAAGATGTCATAGTGTTTGCATCAATAACCACATACATTAGACACCCAAAGATTTAGCATCCATCTACCTAAAACAACAAGTTCTCCAAATGTTTAGAATCAACATGACAAGTGTAAGCATTTCAGCACCATCACTACTAGCTAAAGGTTTGTAACTGTACTCAGTACCAACATAGGCCACGGTGCTTTCAAGGAAGCATCTGTGCAAAGGAGTTCAGCTCTAATGTGAAACCTGAAATTTTAACATGACCTTGCTTACATTGCACAATTCAAAGTATAATATGATTCAGACTGAATAGTTGATAGGTCAACCCATGCTGTCACCAACTATCTAGGATGCTATCCTTTTGTATTAACTTCTCTCAATCTTTTTCTGAATCCTTAGGGAACTAAACAATATCAAATTGAAAAATGTCAACTACAGAAATTTTCAATCTCACGGAGCACTACAACTATGGTATATAGAGTGTGTCTTCATCTAAGGTCTTTTGAAAAATCCAAGATTTTGAATGTTAAAAATATAAGAACTTACAAATATTGGGGTCCCTAAATAATCTCAAATATAAAGGTCGTAAAATTTTAGATCTCACCGAGCTCTATAATTTTATATGAAATGTCTTCATCAGACTTCATTTGAAAAGGTTATGAACTTATTTGAGCTACAAATCAATTTTTCCTATATAAATTTACCCATTTTCAAGAGCAATAGGCATAATAATATTTCTAGAGGAGGTTGATTTATGTCAACCACTCCTGAAAGTGTGTATACGGTCAATTTATTACGTGAAAGAAAATCGATTTCAAGGGTGGCCTCAGACCATGGGCCCAATTGGATATTTATAGGGTGGTTTCTAAATACAACCTCTCATCTAGAAAAAAATGTGGGCTCCCCAAAAAACCATTTATGTAGTAATGTTTTTTTTTCTAAAAATGCACTTATGCATGCAAGTCACGGAAATAGGAATATGAAAATGAAAACATTTCTACACATTTGACCACTCTACTACATATTACCAAGTACAATGAGGTCAAAGCCACGTTCAGTTTACACTATCCCTCCCTCACCGTCAAGATGTTAAATCTTGTTATCAGAGAACCTTATGTGTAGTAGCAGTGTAGTACTTTTAAAATGATAGTCCTTATAAGGACTATGAATTAAGATATGTCATAATGTTTCAGTTAAAATTCATGGACATCATATAAATGCTTAATTTAGGTTAGTGTTTTAGTATTAGTAGTTGCGGAAGTGGATAATTCATAAATATATAAATACAATTTATGATTAGTTAAACAATTTCTATATTAAGAGATGATGGTGATTTAGATGCAAAGTTGATGGGATATTTTAGTTTACTTTTAATAGCAACAAGTGGTAACTTAGAGTACGGAGGCAATATAACATTATATACTCACATTTTTATGAATAGTACAAACATATAGATGAGCTTACAGTGCCGCAGCTCTAAAGAGAACGCGCACTAAATTCTAGTCTAAATGCTAGATTCTCGGAGGAAAATATTCACACATCTATACCAGGTGCACAAGCCCAGTGAAACCAAGCAGATCAGGCCATCAGCTGATGCGTTAGCAGCTCCAGATCTCTTGCACTGCATCAGCCGGTTGTGCGAACCCCTCCATGAGAAGGGACAGCGCGATGGCCCTGTACGCCTGCTGCGTGAGATGGATGCCGTCCCAGCTCACGCGGTGCGCCGGGTCCGCGCACACGCTCGTGCCCGGCGCACCGCACATCATGTTCATGTTGAAGTTGTACGCGCCGCCCGCCCCGCAGCACGCCTGGAGAAGCGCGCCCTGGTCGAAACCTGAAATGCATGCCATCGATCATTCATGAATCCGAACTATTTGAGTTCCAGAAGATTGGTTCAATTGCTGAGCTACGTAAGGTACGTGCCTAGGAGAGAAGCATGGTCGAGCAGGTGCATGAAGGCGCCGTAGTAGTCCGCGTACACAATGGTGGCGACGTCGGTGTTGGCCTTCCTGAGGCCGTCGATGGCCGCCTGGAGCAGCTCGTTGTGGTGCTGGGCGAAGGCGTTGTAGCTCTTGAGGCAGCCCCGATCGTCGAGGTCGCCGGCGCCAGACACGGAGAAGAGGGAGAGGTAGCTCGGGGAGCACCCGATCGGGAAGTTCCCCGGGATGATGATCTGGGTCGCTCCTAGCTCAATCACCTCCTGCAGGTTTGTCAATTGTCATCGACACATGCATAATTACACTAACTGTGCTAGCTAGTCGTCGTCGATCAGGTGCAGTGGTAACCGTTAGTCGTCGTTATTCTTGAGACGGTGAGTCCGCTCAACTAACTTTGGTGTATTTGTTCGGGAGACACCCCTGCTGGATTTGAAACAAGAAATGTCGCTTAACTGAACACTAACCCGTCACACCTACGACCGACCTACTCCGTACTAACAACCAGAGAAGAAAATCTGATAAAAAGAACTCCGCCTGCAATCACCTAGACCTCAGACACTATTAAGAGTAATGATTTTTGCTATAAAAAAGGCAAATTATCATGACAGTTTTCTATCACAATGTTTACTAAAAAAGATACATATATGTAAATGTAACTCATGTGTAAAACACCTGCAGTTTCACATTTTCACTGTAAATTATAGCTGTAATAACAAAAAAAAATCATGCCTTGAGTTCCACGAATCCCAACACAATGGGTACTCACAGTACGTAATAAAGCACAAATCTCAATATAAATTAAGCATTAAAATTCATGTGTTGGGACCTTCATGGCAGTCCCAACCCTTGAAACTACCGGATACAACCCATGGTTTCATCCACGGTTTCTTAGTGTGGGCCTGTTATTAATCCACGTGACTACCATTCTCTCTCACCTATCTCTTTCTCCCTCCCATGACTCTCTTTCTCCACCTATCTCCCATGGTCTCTCCTCCCGACAGAGCATGCAGCGTGCCTACGTGATGGCGGCACCACATGCAGGGGGAGCGAGGGCAGGTGTGGGCAGGCCGCAGCGTAGCGTGTGCTCAGGCGGACGAGCACGCGGGGGCGAGCGGGCGGTGACAACGAGCTCGGGCTCCACACATGTTCGCGGAGGTGGCCATCAGTGAGGCAGACTACAAGGTGCGGCTAGCGAGAGCTCATCGAGGATGGAGGTGGCCCCACACAATGCGTTGGAAGAAACTATCCAGGCTCCCAACACGTAGACGCCGGTTTCTTACGGGTTTGGAAATCGCGCCGAAATCGTTTCTCACTTGAGAAACGGTTTCCTTCTCTTTTCTCCTCTCTCATCAATAAATCTAGTGCCACATCAGATTTTCTGCTCACGTGGCATGGTATTTAATGTTATAGAAACTACCCACAGTTTTAGGTTGAGACTATCCTTAAAAAGCACTTGAAGCTAAATCTGACATGAGTATTTTAAAGGGACTCCAACACATGAATTTCATGTCGATCTCAAATTTGTTTTAAGATTTGTGTTCAACAATGCGGTGAGTACATATGATAAGGAAAATTCAAGTGTTTTATAGCCTCCCTATACATGAATTTTTGTTTACACCTTAATTAGTTACAACAATCTTACCTTTTTTTTAGTAAAAGTGTAGTGATAAAAACTTATGTTGCTTTAGAACCTCCCGGAACACCAGTTTTTTTTTTGGATAAGGTTAGCTCTAATATGAACCATAGACATTAAAATTTTATGGCTAAAAAATCAGGTATTAAAAGTATTGGACACTAATCGCAAAAAAAAAAAAAAATTGGACACCAAAATTTCTGAAGTGACGACTAATCAAGTATTTTTATACGAAAGAGAACGAGATAATATTAGATGATATCCGGTGTTTCAAATAAGAAGAGAGGTGCCTATTGTACTCACCTTGGCGACGTCCATAATGGCGTTTATGACCTGTGGCACGTAGGCCTTCATGGCCTGGATCGACCTAGTGCCCTGCAAGAAGCCGTAGTTGTAGTCGTTCCCTCCAATCTCGCCGACCAAGAACAGCGCTCCGGCCAGCTTCTTCGTGCAATCTATTCATCAGGTTAAATATTTGCATACACATTTATTTGCTATATATAGGAGTGAGGTCTGATATTTTCCATATCATATGGCAATTCACTTCAACAGAAGAATTTCCAAAACGTACGTAGCTACCTTCTTGCGAGGGGCAGGTGGCGTTGAGATGCGACTTGAACCAGTCGAGCTGGGAGCTGAGCGGCACGCTCGCCGGCGGAGCCATGACGCCGCTCAGCAGCAAGACGGACCGGTCCAGCGCCGTGGCGCCGGCCACCGCGAAGTTCACGCCGCTGGCGAAGTCGGCTCCCTTGTCCAGGTACGGGCTCACCAGCGACAGGTTCAGCGCCATCGCTGCGTTTACTCATCACAGCATCACCGGCCGTTTATTTGATCAGTGGCACGACACGATCACCATTTCCGGTGAAGTACACGGCAGTGCACCGGTGAGGGGAGAAGCTAAGGTACGTACCGAAGTAATCGATGATGAGGAGGCCGTCAGAGCACCGGCCGGTGGGTTTCCGGAGGGTCTGGCCGTACGGGTAGCTGCCGATGGAGGCGAAGAAGCCAACGGGGCCCTCGCGCAGGAGGTTGCCCGTGTCCGCGATGGAGTCGCCGAAGCTGTAGATGGCGTCCACGGAGCACGCGGCCGCCGCCGGCTCCACAAGCCCCCGGAGCAGCAGTATTAGCATGCTCACCGAAAGGACCTTGTAGCACAAGAGCCCCCCGCCATTACAAGCTGCAGCCGCCGTGGCCATGGTCACCTTGCTTGGTACCTATTCGAGCTTCTGACTAGCACGCAAGACGAGGTGCGACGATCTGCTGAACGCAGTTATATTCACAATCACAGGCAGGGAGATTGTGGATGTGAATTGATGCTAGCTGCCGGGCCATTCATTTGGTTGGGAAAATGTTGCAGCTAGTAGCTCCGGTCATGGATGTAGGCATGTAGCAGCTTGTTTGCAGGCTTCAGTTAAGAAATGGTGTCCGGGCGGCGGATGGGCTTTGGATTGGTTGGGTGGATTACTCTGGCCGCCCGGTGGGGCCATGAACAGCTTGTTGGTGAGCATTTGGTCAACCTAACTAACAACCCATGGACAACGAGGACATGGGTCGCCCTTTTTCCTTGCTGAACATTCACGGTACTCGTTCATGTGTACTACACCCAAACAATTTTGTGTCGTTCAACGTACTGTACAAAAGTACCCCCCATAAAACATAATGTGTAGGAAACATGTCCATGCATTTTAACTGAAACATTATGACACATCTTAATTGATAGTCGTTGTAAGGACGAACCATTTTAGAATTACTGCACCACTGCTACACGTAAAGTTCTCTGATAACAAGATTTAACATAGTGTAAACTGAACGTGGCTTTGACCTCCTCGTATTTGGTAATATGTAGTACAATGGTCAAATGTGTAGAACTGTTTTCATTTTCATATTCCAATTTCCGTGACTTGCATGCATAAATACATTTTCAGAAAAAAAAAATACAACATTACTGCATAAATGGTTTCTAGGGAGCCTACAATTTTTTCTAGACGAGGCTGTATTTAGAAACCACCCTATAAATGTCCAATTGGGCCCATGCTCTGGGGTCACCCTCGAAATCGATTTTCAGGAACATTTCACGTAATAAATTGACCGTATACACATTTTCAGGAGTGGTTGACATAAAATAACCTCTAGAAATATTATTATGCCAATTGCTCTTGAAAATGGGTAAATTTCTATAGGAGAAATTGATTTGTAGCTCAAATAAGTTCGTAACTTTTTCAAATAAAGTCTGACGAAGACATTTCATATACAATTATAGAGCTTAACGAGATCTAAAATTTTATGACCTTTTTATTTGAGATTATTCCCTGGACTTCCCAGAATCAATGGAGCCTAGTATTTAGATAGAGATCCACCTAATTCTGATGGATAAGAATCTACAACGCAATAGAACGCCCTTGTTGATAATTCTTTACTACGACTTGAATAGCTTAGAAAGAAATGGAACTCAGAGTTATTTTTTTACGGATTTAATGAAAAGGACCCCAATATTTGTAAGTTCTTATATTTTTAACATTCAAAATTTGGATTTTTTTAAAAGACCTTGGATGAAGACACGCTCTATACCAAAGCTGCAGGTGGTCGGTGAGATTTAAAATTTCTGTAGGTTGACAAATTTTCAGTTTGATATTGTTTAGTTGCCGAAGTATTCAGAAAAAGATTTAGAGAAGTAAATACAAAAGGATAGCATCCTAGTTAGTTGGTGACAGCATAGGTTGACCTATCAGCTATTCAGTCTGAATCATATGATACTTTGAATTGTGCAATGTAAGCAAGGTCATGTTAAATTTCAGGTTTCACACTAGAGCTGAACTCCTTTGCACAGATGCTTCCGTGAAAGCACCATGGCCTATGTTGGTACTAAGTACAGTTACTAACCTTTAGCTAGTAGTGATGGTGCCGAAACGCTTGCACTTGTCATGTTGATGCCAAACATTTGGAGAACTTGTTGTTTTGGGCAGATGGGTGCTAAATCTTTGGTTGTCTAATGTATGTGGTTATTGATACAAACACTATGACATCTTTGAATGTGTTGGATTCATGCTGAACTAATTATTCAATTATATATATTAAATATTAATGGCACATGAATCATGTTTGAATGCAATTTGTTTGTGTTGTATTAGATCTATCAATTTTCCTAGAATTGTATATAAAATCTCATTGTAATGCAATATAATTATGCTGTCAGGTTTTGGCCCACAAAAAAAGGACGATTATTTGGTGTTGACAACACCATTAGGAAAATTGTCATTTAGTTCTGCTGGTGTCTCTCCATAAAGAATGATTTCCTCATTGGTGATGTCTAATTTTCCTGTTGGTTGATGCTAACATATGTAGATTTCTAAACCTGCCAGGTTTTAATTTTTCTGTCGGTCATGTGTACCGTCAGATAAATTGTTTCTGACGGTTTGTCGTCATCCATTTTTAAATTTTCATATTGCTCTCCTTGTCTGTTACTTCCCCAGTGTACCATCAAAGAATTTGATTTTTAATTTTGAGTGAAATTCACTCTAGGCCCCTCAAGTATTAGATGATTCTCCAAAGTCCCAATTTGCATTTCTGGGTCCCTAGAGTTTATTTTGGGTCCCACCAGACATCCAAACGGATCTAAACCCGGCCCGTTTGGTGACGTGGCATGCCATGAGGCATCCACCATGGAGTCGGCACGCTGACGCAGCGTGGATAGCTGACTGGTGGGATTTTTGGCCCATGCCCTGCGTGCAACCGCATTCTCCTCCCCCATTCTATTGTTTCGCCCGCCTCCTCGACTTCTTTGCCGTTGGTAGGAGTTGATGATCATCTACGATGGACGGAGAGGAGGTGTTCGCACGGCCGGAGATGCTAACAGAATGGGGGAGGAGAAGGCGAGTGCACGCGAGGCCTGGGCCAAAACCCCCATCGGTCAGCGGTCCATGCTACGTCAGCATGCTAGCTCCACGGTGGACGCCTCGTGGCATGTGACGTCACCTAACGGGTCGGGTTTAGATCTGTTTAGATGTCTAGTTGGCCCCAAATACACTCAAGGGACCCAGAAATGCAAATTGGGACTTTGGAGATCTATCTGACACTTGATGACAAGTTTAGGGACCTAGAGTGAATTTCATTCTTTAATTTTTCTGTCAGTATTTAATATTTCCCTATCAGTAGTTGCACCAATAGGGATATTCCCATTTCAAATAGTGGCGGTGTGGTTGTGACATGGAGGTAGAATCCCTGGAATGCCTAGGACAAAACGCAGAACTTGCAACATGCGATGCCAGAAGCCCACAACCATATGGTGGCTGCTCCGGCATGAGAATTAGTTTTTAAAAAAAATTTCTTGTAGCAGCTGAAAATCAATTTTGGGTGGTTCAGGGCAGTTCCAAACCCACTCCTATTAAGGTCCTATTTCTACAATCAGTTGTATAAGGGCACTTTCGAGAAGAATTCCCAAAAATATATTTGGGCCATGTTTAGAAAACCTAATTAGTATAGTAGGGTGAGTCCACCCAAAGAAACTTATGCTTTCATGATAGCTTAAAAAGAGTTCTCTAGAAAAGACTTCACTCATCCACTGCAAATATAAAAAAGAGCTCTACACACCTCATGCAAAACTGATGTGTTGAGTAAACACGTAGTTTGCATGACTTTCCAAAGGAAAAATACATTGCAGCGTGCCACTTATAATGGTCGCAAGAACACCATTTGCCCACCACTATAAACCAACCACCGCTTCCCCCAAGGGAAGCTCAATGAGACACTCTGCTTTGAAACATTCTACTCTTGTCACATATATGTGGGAAAAAAAAGATTAATGTTGCAAACTACAATTCAACTTTAATGAACTTTGGAAATATTTTTTACCTGGATCACATTTATTGAATTTCCATATTTTAGCACTTATTGAATCTGGTTGTTTGATGACTGCAATATCATCACCTTTAAGATTTGGATAATAGTATCCCAAATTATGCAACTCTTCCAAACCATCAATGATATAACTAGCAAAAAAATGAATTATTCAATGATATACCCTTCGTAGCAGTAATGTAGTAAAGCACATTACATTTTGAGTGATACTAGTTATAAATACTTTATCAATTATGATAGGTGATACAATTTGAAATAAAATGTATCAACAAAGTTACTAGTAGTTGTACATGATCAAAATAACAAAATCTATAGTGAATCTTCCATTTTTATCAGCTCGTGGACCATTTTTTTAATATAAGTCTCAAATGTTGTATCAAATGGTAGATGAGAAAAAAATGTGCAACTAATGTTCTCTCCAACTCCATTAGCAAATCCTAGGGCTTTCATCACACATGGATGATCAACTTGAGTAAATTGAGCATACTACTCTAATGCAGAATCTAGCCCATTAATGCTAATGATAAGCATGTTTTACTACTCACTATCCTCATTGTCACTGAATGACGGCTGTAACCTCACACCAAATGCAAATAAATAGAAGCTTCGTCAATTATTAGAGTTACATATTAACAGTCCAATGTGACACATTAAAATGGTAGTGCAGCAAATGGATGATCATGAGACGCATTACATATATTTATGATGCTATTACAGAGGAGGGAGACAAAATGTACTTACCATCATTCCACCGACATCTCTTCTGGACATCTGTCTGATAGAAGTTGGACCTGTTATGTGAATGTATCAAGAGGCTTGAAGGTCTTCACCCTACCCAAACAACAACAACCTTCAGTAAAATAGTGCAAGAAGGTGAGCAAGGGTTCATGATGCGACCAACCAGCCAGAATAGCACAATGCATGATAGATGATGGATCGAGATTGCTACAAAATTTTTGAGACTAGTGGATTCTGGACAAAAAAAATTAACAAAAACTGGACGAGATTTTGGAGCAGGAGAAGGAGAGAACACCGAACACAATCAAAACCAAGCGCTCGGGGGAAGACTATAAACCAAACCCTAGCTTTCTCTTCTTCCTCCTCCTCCTCCTCCTCCTTAGTTTGTCCCGTCTCCTTCGAATGTAGTATGATCATCGTCGCACCAGTGGCGTCCCCTCCCCCTTTCCCCTCGCTAACCCCTCTCTGATTGAGAAGCGAGAGAGACGGCTGCACCCGTCCACCGCACTGCTGCTCCCTGGTCTGCCTTGCTCTACCTCTCAACCCAGGCCCATGATGGGGAGGAACACCCCACCACATTGGCGCCGGTTTGGGGAGGCGGGTG